GAAAAAGTCAAAATGTCAAATGACAGTCTTATGGCGAGTTGTTGCCGAACATCAGTCGCTACATGTGATAAATAATGAGTTGCAAAAATGTGTATGTATTTAAAAAACGCATGTATGCAAATTTACCGTATTATAAATAATTTTGTGTCCTTTTTAGATTCTATGTTTACCAGATTACGATCTAGAGCGTGTACAGCAAACGCCTCTGCGGTTAATTTTCCTGTTCGAAAGCCAAAAGAAAGCAGTCGTAAAAAGAAGCAGCATTCCGATTCAGATGTTGAGGATCTAGGTGCTAGGATTGAGGAAGCTAAGGATAATGTAGCTTCTGCGTGGGAGCCGCCCCTTTGGCGGACGCAGCTGAAGAACATCCGCCAGATGCGTTCCAAACGTGATGCCCCGGTCGATTCTGTTGGTTGTAGCGAGCTGGCTGACCGATCGGACGGCGACCGCACGTACCGGTTTCAGATACTCATCTCTCTTATGTTGTCCAGTCAAACTAAGGATGCAGTGACCGCGGCTGCGATGAGTAATTTGAAAAAGCAAGGATGCACCGCCGAAAAAATCGCCGCTATGTCCGAGGCAGATTTGGCTGCCTTGATCTATCCTGTTGGATTCGCTAAGCAAAAGGCCAAGTACATCAAGCACACTTCAGCCTTACTGGTCAAGGAATACGACGGTGACATACCGAAGACGGTAGATGATTTGCTAAAGCTACCTGGTGTAGGTCCAAAAATGGCACATCTGGCGATGCTCTGCGCATGGCGCCAGTCTAGTGGTATCGGGGTCGACACCCATGTCCACAAAATCTGTAACCGGTTGGGCTGGGTACAGAAAGCTACAAAGACCCCGGAGGCGACAAGACGATCCTTGGAAGCCTGGTTTCCAAAGGAACTGTGGCCCGAGATCAATAAGCTCCTGGTGGGCTTCGGTCAGCAGATCTGCCTGTCAGTCAATCCACGTTGTGAAGAATGCTTGAACAAGTCCATATGCCCGTACTACGACAGTACTGTTAAACGGAAAAGGAAGAAGACGAAAAATTAGTGAGGCTTCTTGTAAGGCGTGATCTCATTGATGCGTTATTTGTCCACAATTCAACACAATTATTATTATAGAATTAAAAAAGGTAGATTTCGTTTTAGGTTGTGAAACTAATGCTGAATTTTTGCTTTGAAAATAGTTAACTTGAATTCGCCATTGTTGCAGACAGAAGTTGGTGGTAAAATGGTTGATTTACTAGCACAAAATAGATCCTAATCACTTATTTCTTATCTGGAAAAGAATTTGCGATATTAACTAAAGGCATGCGATCCTGGGTATAGGTGGTAATGTTCTCTCTAAGCACTGCTAATATGACAAGGGTCAAGAAGCTTTGGAGCACAGCAATGTGAGGTGCTCTCCCTGTTTTAGACCACGGCTGTTCTGTCTGTACAGCGTGGCACTGAGAACGAAGAGGTCCTAGGTTCAGGTCCTGGTGAGGTCACTAGCCGTTCTTCCTTCCGAAGCAGATGAATAACTACCTGTCTGTGCGAAGGGAACAGGTCTATGTGCTCTGCTTGATACGTAGCTGTAGATTGTGCCTTGAGAAAGTAAGGCACTCCTGGTTGATGTCATTAAAATTAAAATTGGCACCGCAACATACGCTTCCTAAATTGAAGGATGTCATCAAAAACCCATCTTATAGAACTCTGAAGTAAAACCGACATCCCAACGGTTGCAAACATTCCTTCCTTTTGTGTTCCGCTGCTTAAATTTGAACGTTCTTCACTAACATGGGTTGAGAACGTGGACAGCCTTCGAAAAATTACATAGTTTATGGTTGATAACTCGACTACTGAACTCTAGCAGTCATGCTTTGTTGGTTCCGTGGAGCTGCTTCCTTCGCAGCCAAAAAGAAATAGGGTCTATTCACTATCTTCAAGCTCTCTTATATTGTTTATAAGCGTTGTTATTGTTTTGATATCGATTGAAGTTGACAGAGTTTAGACAGCGTAGTAATCCAGATTTATGTTGTCTGTCCATTGGATCTGGAATTTCAGGTTGATGTTAGGTTACTTTCACTGTTGCGACGAACGTTATATTTATTTTTGCCTGCAGCTCTGCCTCCACAAGGTGTATTTACGTTTTATGTTATCCTCTTACGGGTCTACTGTCATTGCATGGTTACTTAAAAAAGAAGAAAAGAAAAGTTTAGAATATATTTACTTTCTCTTTTAGGGATGTTTTACCAAACTATGTCAGGCGCCGGTCTCAAAGTTCATCTTATAGTTTTCTCAGACCAGTGGTCATTAGTTAACGTCTACCCGTTCATGGCCCGGTGATACTACAGACAGTACTGTTAAAAGCTATTTGGGCAAGCTTCTTGACAGCAGATGTTTCGAGAATGTACACGAGTACCGCGAATATTGCTGTTTTCATTATGGCGATATTATTTGTCTATCTTTCCATATGTTATACAGCTTACCATAATTCACTGATGCCAGTCCAGTGCGCTCGCTGATTCACTTCCGGATGAAGGTCGAAATCATCATTCAACACATAACCGGTGTACTTGAAATAGTCCACCTCGACTGTCTTACTACCATCCCATAGTATCCTCAGACTGATTGTAGCCCTCATAGTCTTCATTTTGTTGACGTTGGTTTGTAACCTTACTTCCATAATGGCGTTGCACACGTTTTCGGTGAGTGTCAAGATCAGTAGGCCATTTGTGAAGTCGCTCAGCAGCACGATATTATTGGTGTATTTATGGTCAATTAGGAATACCGCAAGTTATCTCTAGCTACGTCGCTAACTTAAGATCAGTCCCTCGTTGGAATTCGGTACTACACTTTTCCGCATAACATTGTAAGAATAATTATTTTTAAGAGGGGGATTTCCACAGTGCTATCAGTAACTGACATGTATTACATGTAAGAGTAGCATTTTTTGACCTGAAAAGACTAGCTATAATCCTCTCCCATCGTTTTACCAAGATCTTCCCGGCAAATTTTGGGATAATGTGGTGCAGTCTGGACAGAAGAAAAGTAGCTATTCATTTCGTTCTGATTAAAACGTGCATCTTCACTAACATCTGACCATTCAATAGTCCGACTGCTCACATATAAGGTTTTAAAATTTAATCCGTTTTCATTCATCCAGGGTCATGCTTATTTGTTCCGTTGCAACTACAGGCACAAGAGGCAGGCAACTACAGATTTGTTTTATCTTATTTTTTGCCAATCCGATATGCTTTGCGGGCTGGATGTCAAGACAAGACAATGTCAAATATTGAGTATAACGGTGCGATCTGGTTCATGGCAGCCGAGTCTATGAGGCTTTACGAGAACAGATCAGCTTGTGAACTGTGACTTTGATATTGTGACAATGTCGAAGCCATGTACAGTTGTAATCTCTCGATCTGAAAGAAAAGGCGCTCACAAATTTGGGTAGCTACCAGTGCCAAATGCTGAGTCTGTCAAACCTAATCGGACTAGGCTGTTCTTTCAACTTCAAGTTTAACGTAAAAATCTTTATGTTCTCAGGCAAAAGATTCATTTAGTTCAACATATACATTATCCGCATGCTGTTTACAATTTTAACGTCTGTGACTGGTCATGTGTGAAACTGAAGTTGTGTAACAAGCGGATTGGAATACGTTAAATAGACAGCTAAAGACGATCCTGAATGACGGTGAACAAATGCTGACTTTTTTACACAGTAAATTCAAACGAGGTTGCACTTCATTGGTAACCGGAAGAAATGATGAGCCGGCTATGTGGAAAAATCCCATAGCAAGTGTAATCGTGCGGTCGGTTTAGAAGAGGAAGAATCTCAACATTAAGTGAGCTACATAATTCATCCACGGTAAGGCAGGTTTCAGATGAAACCGACAAAGGTTTAATGCACCGGAGCCTGATCAGTAACTGAAGCTTTTATCGACAAAATACCACATGGCCGTTTAAGTTTTATATAAAAGTTTTTCAAATTTAATCTAAATTGCAGTTTATGATTACAACAAGCAAATAATATATCATCACCGCATAGTGGTAAATATTATAGCGATCTTGATCAATACTGTAACTTGCTACAAACTTTAATGTATAAAAATGGTGCTGTCAATTTCTTAAATTCTGAATTTTTGACACTAACTGCTTTGAGCTTTAGATATTCAATATATGACACAAGAATAAAGTAAAACCTAATAAACTGAATAAGAAACAAACGAAAATAATGTTAAAATATGAATTTTTCTAGAAGAACAGTAACAACACATTTAGCGAAAAATGTTTTCCAAAATTTCTTGGCGTTCCGTCTGGTCGACCTTTTTCAGAGGTTTCCTTTGCTTTACTTGACGTTGGTACCTTTCCCAAAGATTACTCTTTTTCAGCGTTTCCTCTTCGAGTTTCTTCAGGCGGTAGCCTTTCTCTACCTGCTCGGCGTAAAAGTTTGCCTGCTTCTTCGCCTGCACGATCTCGGCTTGCATCCGGTGTTTGTTCACTGCTTTTTCGTACGCCATCT